AAGGCGCGGGCGCCTGGGTCCCGCCCAGTCCCCTGGCGTTTCTCTGCGGTCCCCCTTGAGCCTCTCAAGGCCACTGTACTGGCCCCTTTGGATGTCGGTTTTTGTTGGACTTGGAATTGGAAGTGGAGGGATGTTGGGGGGCGGTGCGGGAACGAAATTTGGGGTGCGGCTGCTTAAGGATGTGGAGCCCTTGCGCACACACCCTCCCCCTTCCCGGCAAACAGGCAGGGGGTGGTGGTCGGAATCCTGGTCCTGCTTTTTCCTTGTTCCTCTCCCTCGCCCTACTTCCCTTTATCCTTGTTATTCCGCGCTTACTGCCCTTGGTCTTGGGCTGAGTCCCTGGCGGAGCCTCCTCTCCCCCCACCAGCAAGAGCTCACCGGTGATGTAATGCGGGACCCGCGCAGGGAGGGGCAGCAGCAGCCTGGGCAGCTGATGAGCAGCGCGGGTTCCTGTCCTTCGTGAAAATCGTGATCTCATTTCTCCGTCCAAGGGCGAAAGCCAGTGATCACCCAGCCATTTACACTTTCCACTTGCGTTAGCAAAGCCCAGGTAACCCTGCGGCATTCATTCACAGGCTGGAAGCGGAGGGCTGGCATTTTCATTTCACCATCTGGAGGAAATTTTGGAGCTAAACAGTATCTTTCTTTCCCCTTGAAATATTTCCTCCTGAGATTTAAGGAGGTACGAAGACACAGACTCATAGCCAGGTCTGGCTGATTTTCTGGCGCTGACCACAAGGGAGGAGATAGCTATTTCGTTGGTGCGCAGGCGTTTACAGAGGCAGCAGGGGGAAATGTTATCGTCAGACAGGTTCACGCAATTTCAAAGTCCGGCTTAAACTAGCCCCTGGCACCATTCACCACCTTCCTCCACTTAAACTTTTAATACGCAAATGTAGAGAGCCAAAAATTCTGTGAGTAACCTAGGACAGATCTTCCTGATTTATTAAAACTAATGGAAGCCCCACTGGGCAGGTTAGCAAGAAGCAGCACTTCTTGAAGGAACACCCAGTAGAATACAGGACTAGTGGTTTTGGGGGACCATCCAAAAGGTGCTGTTCAGATATTCCTAACCACAAAGTTCTGTTCCCTTGTTTTTCTCCAGGTTGGACGTTCCCCCATGAAGAGAGAACCACAGCAAGGGAGAGGAAGAGGATGGTTCTCTTGGTTCCCATGAGACGGGAATGTTTCCACTTTTTCTCCAGGTTCTCTGCAGAAGGCAGTAAGATGCTCCAGAGAATGTTTGTGGAAAGGATGAATGAACAGGAAAGCAGCTGAAGGAAAAGGACAGAAAGAGACGGAGAAGCCACCAATGCAGGAATTGTCATAAACAACTAGTAAGTTTCTATGACATTTGAAAGTAAATTTACTTTTTATTGTCGGTGACTAGTGAATGTGATAGATGTCTTAAGTGTGAGGGATCTTAGGAAAACTCATTAGAGACCCCTTTAGCTTTCCATTTCCTAGTTTCAAATTTTATAAATATGATTTGGGGTAATACTCTTTCTTCTTAAAATATGTCATTTTGTGATAGGGGCTGTGATGAGCAGAGGGCAAGGTGATGGACATCAGGAGAAGGCCCTCATCTGGCCTTGGAATATTACAAAGTTATGCATACCAGCCTCTCAGTGAAGGAACTGGCTGCCTGTCCTTCTCTTTCTTTCCTTGAGCTGTATGATTGTGAATAGCCTGGAATCATACATTTTATTGCAGTTTTAAACCGAGTTCTTCTAATTAAGCCCTTTTAAAATTTTTTATTTCTTATTTTCTTAAGATTTTATTTATTTAAGAGAGAACGAGAAGGAGCAGGGGGAGAGGCAGAGGGAGAAGCAGACTCCCCACTGAGCAGGGAGCCCAACTCAGGTTCACCCCAGGACCCTGGAATCATACCCTGAGCTGAAGACAGATGCTCAACTGACTGAGCCACCCAGGCGCCCCTTTTCTACTTAAGCCTTGATTGGCCCTTACTGAGAAGAGACATAAAGCTGATGTAGGAAACATTTAAAAACAGGGCATGGGGAAAAAAGAAGCACAAAAATAGGAGGGCTAGCGTGTATTTATGTCTTTTCCTTCCCATCCACCCAGTTCCTAGGACATATGCAGCTTCCATGCCAAAAGGGGATGGAAAAAGAGTTCTGAAAGTCCACATGTCTGCGCTGGGCAAAACAATTGAAGGTTTTGAATTTTCACTCGATTATGGATTCTCAGTATTGGATGGAAGAATGGAGAAATGGAGCATGGGGCTAAAGCGGAGTTTCTCAGCCTCAGCACTATTGACATCTTGAGCTGGATAATTCTTTGTTGTGGTGCTAATCTGTGCATTGTCAGATGTTTAGTGACATCCCTGGCCTCTACCCACTTGTCAGTCTCAACCCTTTCCCCAGTGGTGACATGGGGGGGGGGTAAGCCCCCCCCCGGGGGGGTATACTTACCCCTGCTGGAGAATCACAGGTCTCTACCAAAGTCACAGATTTAGTTATGGGGAAACCAAAAGCAAAAACATTTCCCAGCTTTTAATTGGTACAAGCAAAGATAGCCTTGGTAGTCAGAAGTAATTATTTAGTCGCTACCACCATTGTTTCTACAGCTCATGGTCGCTTCAATACCCTAGCACCCTCTTTGAGAGGTCCATACTTTCTATTGGTGGGATCAAAAACAATTGCCAGGATTCAGTTAGCAATGCTGGAATTCACTCTCTGTGTGTAGATGGCTTTTAAAAGGACCTAGCATCTCCAATCATTTATATCCTAGGGCCAGTCACTCATTTTTAGGACTCATAAAGGTGTCACATGGGGGTTTTTGAGAGTGCAGTGAGGAGCCATGACGTGCCTGAAGAGTGTGAGTTTGGGTGCCGCAGGCCACAGGTGTCCGCCCTGATGAGCTGTAAGGCCCAGCGCTCACAGTGTCGTCTGCAGCAGTAAGTAGTGAAGCTTGGTCATTCGTGTAGGAATTAGGCTTTCCTTGTGGTGAAAACTGTGTTGAAAGGGATTCTTAAGTCAGAAACAAGGAACTCAATATTCACATCAGGGTTTGAACTGGCTTTGCTCATGAATCCTGCTCAAGCCTTGAATATATTTGGTACTCAATATTGGCTGAATTGGTTTCTTTTTGAAGACTCTTTTCGAGTAAATGAAAGACACCAGTGGTCTCGGGTAAATCTTTTATATATATCTCCTCCTTCGACTGTCTAAAGAGAGAGAATGTTTAGTTTTAGGGTTAATCGTCCTGCGTCCAAACGCTAGGTCTCGTCCTCACCTCCTCTATAGCATTAGATATGCTAGTTAGCTTCTCTGTGCCTCAGTTTTCCAAACTTTAAAATGGGAATGAGTAGTGACCTAAGTCTGTTGTGAAGATTGAATATATTCTACACATAACACACAGAGTTCCCGCCCTCTGTTAACACTCAATATTGTTTCTGTCAGGCATTTCTATTCCTGACCTCAGCAGTCCTCACAAATGCCCTATGAGAGAAGCCCAGAAGGTTTGTGTCACCAGCCCAAGGTGACAAGCCAATAGGGACAGAGCGGTTCTAACCCAGGTCTTCCACTATTTCAGAGATAGAGACACATTTAGCATCTCAGTCAGAAAGACAAGGAGGAGGAGCCCTGACCTAGGAATCTAACCACGTGTTATTGATCTGTTAGTCATAATAAATAAAGCCCTGTATAAAATATGAGGACAAAGTGAAGTCTCATTGGTAATATTGGAAGAATAGATGTATAGTCAGATAATGCCACTCAGAAGCAAGTAGTAAATGAGTCAATCAAAAAGTTGACATTTAAAAATAGAAACTGGGTTGATTCAATTAGACATTTATTGAGGTCCTACTCTGGCAGGCGTTATTGCTGTGTGCTAAGGTACCTGGCCTCCAGAAACGAAGACTTTAATAGAGGACATTAAACATTTGTGCAAAACTCGGAGGCAGAATGAGGCAAGTTTGTGGTCCAGGGACAAGGTCTGGTGGGAATAAAGAGGAGAGAGAAGTTATTTCTGCTCTGGGGAGGTAAGAAGTTTCCACAGACTCATGGTCAGTGAATTGTAGAGGATTTGGGAAAATGCAGAGAGAAAGACATTCAAGGCAGCAGCAGGGAAAGCGGTGTGTTGAGGGCATGGCAGGTGGCCTGCTTCAGAGAGAGCATGCAGTGTGTAGGACAGTGTCAGGGGAAACTGAGAACACTGTACTAGGAGGATTGGGCTTAATTCTGTAGACAGCTGGATGGTCGAAGGTCAGCATAGGGCAGGAGTGTCCGTGAGAGGTTGAGCTTGGGAGTGGTACATATCAATTAAAAAGTTACTTTAGGCACTAGATCTCATTGCTCTATCCTGCAAAGATATAACTTCTAAAAGAATTAATGTATTCCATTTATGGTGGTAAGTTTTCTCCCATTGTGTAGAGACAGTATGGTCTAGTGGTTAAGAACACTAGTAGCTGCTTACTAGCTGTGTAGTCCTGGAAAAGTTACTTAACCTTTCTGTGCCTCAGTTTTCTCTCCTGTAAAATGAGAGAGTGTTCTCTACTTCAGAGGGTTGTTGTAGGGTCAGAATGAGTTAATATTTGTTCAGCTTCAAACAGTGCCTAGTACATGGTAAGAAAAGAAGCTAACCAAACAGGCCCAATCTGCAGTGATTCAAAAGATGCTTTTTCTGGGGCACCTGGGTGGCTCAGTGGGTTAAGCATCTGACTCTTGATTTCGGCTCAGGTCATGATCTCAAGGTCTTCAGGCTTGGGGCTCAGCGTGAAGTCTGCTTGTTCTTCTTCCTCCCTCCCTCGCCCCTCCCCCACTTGCTCCTGAGCATGCGTGCATGCTCTCTCTGTTTCTCTCTAAAATAAAGAATAAATAAATAAGTAAATAAATTTATTTTTTTAATATTTTATTTATTTATTTGACAGAGAGAGACACAGCGAGAGAGGGAACACAGGCAGGGGGAGTGGGAGAGGGAGAAGCAGGCTTCCCACGGAGCAGGGAGCTGGATGAGGGGCTCGATCCCAGGAGTCTGGGATCATGACCTGAGCTGAAAGCAGATGCTTAACTGACTGAGCCACCCAGGCGCCCCAATAAGTAAATAAATTTTAAAAAATCTTTAAAAAGACCCAAAAGATTCTTTTTCTAGGAGAATTATCATTTCTTTTTTGGTAAATAAAAATAATTCATAAGGAAAACTCTCTCAACCAGGTGATCAAAGTTAACTTCCATAGTGGTAAGTCAAGCTGATCACGTGTACCCTTGATATGTATGGAGAATGGTACTTTCTGTGATAGTCCTCTCAAAAACCTGTAGCCCCAGTTTAAACATGGGAAAACATCAGACAAATCCCAATAGAAGGATATTCTACAAAACACTTGACCAGGATGTCCCCAGACTGTCAGGGTCATCAAAAACAGGGACAGCCTAGGGCACCTGGGT